TTGCATGCCTGAGGCCCTGGGTTCCATTCCTCAGCACCACATAAGCAAAAAGAAAAAAGCCAGAAGTGGCGCTGTGGCTCAAGTGGTAGAGCGCTGTGGCTCAAGTGGTAGAGCGCTAGCCTTGAGCTGAGGGACAGCGTCTAGGCCCAGAGTTCAGGCCCCACGACCGGACCCCCCCCCAAAAAAAAAAAGAAATATGTCATGCATATATGAGAATAAAACAAGTCCAAATATAAAACAAAGTGATTTAACCTCTGACCTTTCTTCTTTATTGGCAAGTAGGGATGCCCGTAACGACATCTACCTCGGGGCCGCGAAGATTAATAAACAATCCACGTAAAGGTGCTGCACCACATTATTTGTGATTCACCCCCCCCCTCCCACCCGCCCGCCGCAAGGCTCTGGGAGCAAAGGGCTAAATGCCCAGATCCCTCCCCCTCATTCAAGCTCCTTCCCTGAGGGAGGGGCTAAGTGACGACTGGGGCTGCAGTCACCCTAGCCACGCAGGAAAAATTGTTAAAGCTCGCGTGGAGGGCTCTGGCACTCCAACAAGACATTGCTTCCGAGAAAGGGACCACTAGTTTGTTACTAAGCTTTAAAAAAAAAAAAGTCAGTGCAAAGGGTAAAAAGTCAGTGCAGGATCTTTTTCCTTTCTCCCCCGCCCGCCACCCCGCCCTTTCTTGTAGTAAGAGGCACCCTCGTTGTAGCCAAAGTCGAAATGGTGGGGCAGAGGGAATACCAGCAACCCTGCCCCAGCCCCCTCCCGCCTCTGTCGCCGCCTCTCCGGCCCCCCTCCCCAAGGAAAACAAATAGGAAACCCGAGGCATTACAAACCCTCGACGTATAAACAACCGGCCCTCGGTAGCCTCGGGGACAGACCGTGCCCAGCTCACCTGGTGGCTTCCCCCAGCTCGGCTTGGCTCTGGCCAGGCGCCTCCCGAAGGATAGTAGCCATCGCCACCTCCGCCTTCCCCGGGCCAGGTGGTCTCAGCCGGGCCGCCCCCGCGCACCCGCCAGGAAATGGGAGGCTGAGGAGGCTCGGGCCGAAGAGGTGGATATAAGGGCGGAGGAAGGTGTACCGGCATATCTCCTCCCCCAGGCCCGTAGTAGCGGCCGTAGGAAGGACCGTCACTGGGGCCGTAGCCCGAGCGCCTCAGGGCCGACATGGGCTCTCCTGCCCCGAAGCCCTTCCCGCCCCCCACGGCCGACCCATTGCGCAGGCGCCAACTGGAGGGCGGGACTGACGAGCTGCGCAGGGGTAGGACGCCAGCAGTCAATCCCAGGAAGATCCCGCCCCTTCTGTTTGCCAAGGTGGAGCGTTGAGCGACGGCCACGGAAGAAGGAAAGCAAGAAGAGCCTCTATACTCCTTAAACGGTAGGACGCATTTTCCCACAGGCCACCCAGTTTAGTCCCTCTTCCCACGTAAGGATGGGGGGGGAGGGGACACGGTGCCACCGGACCGCACGATTGTCCCGCCTTTTCCGGAGGCCGGGCACGTGCGCCGGAAGTGGGTGGGGGCAATAGGAAGTTGCTTCCGGCAAGCCCCGGCGGCTGAAAGCCGGGGCTAACTTGTGGGTCGGGGTCGTGCGGTTTACGTCTTCGTCGCCTGCAGGCGACCACTGCCGTGGGGGAGGGCGGGGAAGAGCTGTCAGAGGTGCTGGCCCACGCCGCAGTTCGTTACAACTTTACCTCAGCTCAAAATGAACTACATGCCCGGCACCGCCAGCCTCATCGAGGACATAGACAGTGAGTAGCTGGTCTCCGGGATGAGTGGCTTCTCGGCGGGCGGGCGGTAGGTAGGCTCTGACCTCTGTTGCGATGCTCCCCGCCGACCTTCTCCACAGCCTCAGGACCCCCCGCTGGCCCGCCCCTCAGCCTGCCCCCTCGGGGCTGGTGAGCCTCGAGCCGTGGAGCCCTTCCTGGCCTCGAGGGTCGCAGCCGCACCCGAGGCCCGAACGCGAAAATGACCCTGCCCCACTCGGGCCCACCGTCTCCCACCTGCAGTATTGCTAAGTACCAGGTTGTTAGCAGTGGAAGGATGAGAATACTCACAGCAGTCACCAAGCGGGGAGGGAGAAGTAATAATAAGACATCAGCGGTTAGGTTTAATTAGTAAAACGTAGGTCTTACGCTGCCGTGGCAGTTTGCAGGTTATTAGGTGTGGGTCGTAAAAACCACTGCCTCACGTGGTACTGACTTTCCTAGAAAGCTAATTCACCTCAAACATGTTTTTTCTTTGACACAGTCTTCTTTTGTTTTTACTAAGAAGACTTCCCATATTCCTACTTACTGCTCTGAAGAGTTCAGTCCTGTATAAAAGAGGAACCACTTACTGTCCTTTCTTTTCACTAAGTTCTTATCACCGAATTTGGAGCCATACAGAGATGATTAGCTTTGGCCTGTGCTCAAGGAATACGTGCAAAATTGTGAAGCATTCTGTATTTGTTTTTGTTTTTTTGTTTTGTCGGTCGTGGGGCTTGACATCCGGACCTCAGCTCTTCAGCTCAAGGCTAGCACTCTACCACTTGAGCCACAGCGCAACTTCCAGTTTTGTGGTGGTTAATTGAAAAAGAGTCTCAAACACTTTCCTGTCTTGGTCGGGTCGGCAGGCTTTGAACCGCTATCCTGAGATCTGACCCTCCCTGAGTAGGATAACAAGCATGAGCCACCTGCACCTAGCTTCCTTTTTTTGTTTTTGGTTGTGGATCCTGCTCTCTGGGCCTGGGTGCTGTCTTCAGCTCAAGGCTAGCGCTCTATCACTTGAGCCACAGCGCCACTTCTGGCTTTTTTTTTTTTGTCGGTCTTGGGGCTTAAACTCTACCACTTGAGCCATAGCACTACTTCCAGTTTTTTGGTGGTTAATTGGAGATAAGAGTCTCATAGACATTTCTGCCAAGGCTGACTTTGAACTGCAATCTTCATATCTCAGCCTCCTGAGTAGCTAGGATTACAGGCTTGAGCCACTGGCGCCTAGCTGCTGCTTTCTTCTTTCCACCTCCACCTCCCTCTTGAATTCAGTTCAGGGCCTGGCACTGTCCCTGAGCTTCTTTTGCTCCAGGATAGCACACTACCACTTGAACCATAGAGCTACTCTGGCTTTTTCTGTTTATGTGGTAAGTGAGGAATCGAACCTAGGGCTTCATGCATGGTAGGCAAGCACTCTACCTACCACTAAGCCACATTCCCAGCCTGGTTATCTGACATTTTTTTAAACCTAAATGACTTGTTTTGTTATTGAAGGCAGATGTAGTGGAAATTGGAGCAAATACATTGGACTTTATCTTCATATATATGTGTGTGTTTATACACACACACATATTCACACACAAATAACAACACGTAGAAAACAATATGTAAGCCAGGCACCAGTGGCTCATACATGTAATCCTAGCTACTTAGAAGGTTGAGATCTGAGAGACATGGTTTGAAGCCAATTATGGCCAAAAAGTCCAAGAGATGCTATCTCTAATTACCAGCAAAAAATGCTGGACTGGTAGAGCACCAGGCATGAGCAAGAAAGCTGAGCAAAAGGACCAGGCCTTGAGTTCAAGCCCTCATACCTGCACACACTCAAAAAAATGTAAAGATGGCTAGGCACTGGTGGCTCATGTCTATAATCCTAGCTACTCTGGAGGCTGAGATCTGAGGATCCAATTCAAAGCCTGCAGGGCAGGAAAGTCTGTGAGACACTTATCTTCAATTAACCACCAGAAAACCGGAAGTGGACCTTTGGCTTAAATAGTAAGAGCACTAGTCTTGAGGGAAAAGCTCAAGGGCAAGAGCAGCCCCCAGGTCCTGAATTCAAGTCCCTGACAAAAAAATGTAAAGGTGTAATGAAATAATTGTATTTTGGCAGCTTGAGGATGCCCTATACACTCACTTCTTTATGTATACATATATATGTATATAATTGTTCATAATTACATATAATTCATACATTATATATATATATATAAAAATTTTGTTCTTACATCCTTTACCCCATACTTTTTCTTTTCTTTTTCTTTCTTTTTTTTTTTTTTGCCAGTCCTGGGGCTTGAACTCCGGCTGGGCACTGTCCCTGAGCTTCCTTTTGCTCAAAGCTAGGACTCTACCACTTGAGCCACAGCAACACTTGTGGATCTTTTTGAGTAGTTTATTGGAGATAAGCGTCTCAAGGACTTTCCTGACTAGGTGGCTTTGAACCATTATCCTCAGATCTCAGCCTCCTGAGTAGGATTACAGGCTTGAGCCACCAGTGCCCCATTTCCATAATTCTTTTAAATTCCAAGCCCCCTCCATTTACTGAAAAGTTTGAAACCATTTGTTATTCATCCTTCATTCCCCCATCCTTACACATTTACACATTTTCCTCCTCTGTCTTTCTGTATTTTCACCCATCTTCTCACTTAAAGAGGAAGTCTTCTTCCCTTTTGTTATCCTTAAATGGAAACTTTTTCCATATAATTTTTTCTGTCATGTTTTCTGTTCCTCTCTCCACATCCTTCCCTTCATGTATATTGTCTGTCATCTCAAGTACTTTTTCAATTCTCTCCCCATTGAACTCCCATCCCTTATACATTTTTTTGAGTGGGGGAGGGCTGTCCTGCAGCTTGAACTCAGGGCCTGGGCACTGTCCTTGAGCTTCTTTTGCTCAAGGCTAGCACTCTACCACTTGAGCCACAGCTACAGTTTTGGCTTTTTCAATTTATGTGGACTGAAGAATCAAACCCAGGACTTCATGCATGCTAGGCAAGCACTCTACCACTAAGCCACAATCCCAGCCCCCCTTATGCATATTCTTGAGTCTCACCTCTATTTTCTTTTTTATTTGTGCCACTACTAGAAGTTGAACTCATATCTTAGGCACTGCCCCTTAGCTTTTTCACTCAAGGTTGGCACTCACCACTAGAGCTTTATTCTCATTCCATTTTGATTCCACTCCTGACCATCTATTGCAGACTGCCTTTTATTACCCTGTAATCTAAATTTTACTGTCACCACACTACTAAAGCTGCTTTCTTAAATCATAATGCTAAGACATTCTGATGACTTTTCTCTGCAGCAAATGTATTATTATTTCACTTGGGTTCTTAATTCTGTTCTCTTGGTTGTTCTAACACTGGTTCTTGATGTTTACCTTCTTGTTGCGTTCTCTCAGTTAGGTGGTCTAAGGCAAACAGTTGTCCTGCTTCATTCTCTAACTCTGTAGGAGACCTACTAGATGAACTTTAAACTTTTGTTGCTTTTATCTAGATCAGTCTTTGTGTTTTCTTATTCTTTTATAATTTAGAAATCAAATCCAAATAGAGCCTGTCCCCCAGTATTTTTCTGAATTTAACTCCTTTCCCTCCCCTCTCCTTTCCTTTTAGCCAGACATTTGAATATGGATAATTTTTTTCCTCCTACCTAATTTGCAGATTTTCCTCACGTGTCCCATGGCCCATCATTATTACCTCAAATGCTACCTCCACACATATAATGTGCCCCTGAAGGCTCATATAATTTGATTTGTTTGCTTATAGTGCTTAATTACAGCTCACAGAAGACTATAAATTCCTTCAGTGCAGAATCACTGTCCCTCAATTATACATCGAGAAAGTAGTTGATGCATAGCTGAAATTTTGCTGGCTTTTCTGATTCCTGGCTTATTGTCATCCTTCAATGTCTTCAGTTACCTCTTTAGAGAGATTTTTCTTTGCCAACCTCTGTTCTCTACTTCTCTGTTCATGTCATTATCCTATTCTTACCTATCTGTTACTCTATTATACTTACCACAGATAAATGGAAAGCTACCATATGTGGCTTTCTTATTTTCCTCCAACAGTGAATATAAATTCATAGGGTTAGTGATCTTCAGGCACCATAACAGTATATAGCTCTCAATAAATATTGAATTTTACTCCAGGTTATTATCAAGTCCCCTTAAATGAGGCAGTTTTAATTTTTGTATTGGTACAGTGGATTCAACCCAGAACCTTTGGGTTGCTAAATTAGGCTGTGTCTGTTATACCTCTAGCTGCTGGATGCATTATTTTCATTTAAAACTTCCCTTGGCACTCACTATGGAACAGAGACCAGGCAGGGAGAGACATACATGGCAAATTCTTCAGCAGCCCATGCACCCCACCCTTCTTACCCGTATTTTACAAGACTTGAATTCAGATCTGTGTGGAACGGAGTTACAGGTATTATCACTGAGCTGTACTTCCTCATGGAATGAGAAGGTGCCAGGTCTAAGTGGCAGAGACAGGCAGATTGGGAGGACATGGGTGGAAAACTTGCATGGGGAAAGGCATATTAAAATGTGGGTGATCCATCGGTGGAGCTGTGATTCAAGTGACAGAGTGTCAGTATTGATCAAAAAAGCTAAGGGATACTGCCTATGTACTGACTTCAAGCCCCAAAACACACACACACACAAATGTGGGTGATCAGACAGGACTGGGACTGTGGGGGCACAAAATACAGTCATCAAAGGCTTTCCTAAAGTCCCTTGGAAGAGAATGGAGACCTGTGAAAATGAGAACTAGCAACCCAAACTGAAGGACCAGAACTGCAGCCCTGCTAATTCACACAATGAAAATAGAGGGCCCCGGGAGTCAGGGATGCCCTGACAAGTGATATGTAAAGATTTGTAAGTATATGTCTCATTAGAAAAAAAAAGTTGAGGGAAAATATTTCCAGAATTAATAAAAATCATCTAGTCTAAATATCTCAATATACAGATGTATGTGACAGGGAGAGGGTTAAAGGGTTAGGCATCAGGCTCTGGTGCCAGTCATGGCAACACTATTCTGATTCTTTTTTTGTCAGTCGTGGGGCCTGAACTCTGGGCCTGGGTGCTGTCCCTCAGCTCTTCAGCTCAAGGCTAGTGCTCTACCACTTGAGCTATAGTACCACTTCCAGCTTTTTGCACTTACGTGGTGCTAAGGAATTGAACCCAGGGCTTCATGCATGCAAGGCAAGCACTCTACCACTGAGCTACCTTCCTGGCCCCACTACTCTGATTTCTTTTGACCTCTAAGCTTCTCATCTAAATCCCAGGCTTCCCTGTTCCCTGCTCCTCTCCTCCCTCCCAGCTCCCCATTTTTTCAGTGAACTCTATCCTAATGCATTGGAAGAGGAAGTGATATAGCTTAAATTGTCACTAATGATTTTCACTGGTAGTCTGTAAACTCACTGAAGATGACTGCTTTCATTTCAAATATCTTTTTTCTTCTCCTTAGAAAAACACTTGGTTCTGCTTCGAGATGGAAGGACACTTATAGGATTTTTAAGAAGCATTGATCAGTTCGGTATGTAAGAACTATGGAATATTTAATTGTTTGGATAGTAAGAGCCACCAATTGCATTTTTTGTTATTTTATTTTTTTGGGGGGGTGGGGTAGGATGGGGGTCAGTCATGAGGCTTGAACTCAGGGCCTGGGTGCTATTCCTGAGTTCTTTTGCTCAAGGCTAACACTGTACCACTTTGAGCCACAGCTCTACCTCAGGTTTTCTGGTGGTTAATTGGAGATGAGAGTCTGACAGACTCTCCTGCCCAGGCCAGCTTTGAACCAGGATCCTCAGGTCTCAGCTTCCTGAGTAGCTAGGATTATAGGTGTGAGCCACAAACTCCTTGCTTCATTTTGAAATTTATTTATATGCATTTCTTACATGTCTAGCATAATGGATCTGTTTTGAATGAGTAAGTCATTATTAAATTGTGATTAGATGATTCAAAAGCTTGTATATTTTATAAATTCCTGTTTCTAAAACTGGTTTACACTACAGCATTTGGATTCTTTAGTTTCCCATTAGAGGGAGCCAAATGCTAGAAAGAAACTCAGTCAGGAAGTGAAGCTATGGCTCAAGTTGTAGAACATTAGTGTGAGCAAAAAGAAGTTCAGGGATGGTACGTAGGCCCTGAGTTCAAGCCCTAGGACTGGCATAAACTCAGTCCACTGAAAAGGCTGCTCATTTATGCATTGGCTGGATGAGGTGACTCTTCAAAGCACTGCCTACACTGAAGGTAATTCCTCTCTTCCAATAAAAACTAAGAAGATAATACTTCCTGAAACTTTTTGGGGAACATTAAGGTCAAGTTTTGCAGAGGACTGTATCAGACTTAAAAATCTCAATCTTTGTTTTTAGTCTTTATCTTTTTTTTTTTTTTAATTTCGTTTGTGGGGCTTGATCTCTGGGCCTGTGTGCTGTCCCTCAGCTCTTCAGCTCAAGACTAGTGCTCTACCACTTGAGCCACAGCTCCACTTCCATTTTTCGGAGTGGTTTATTGGAGATAAAAGTCTCACAGACTTTCCTACCTGGGCTGGCTTTGAACCTCAGTCCTCAGATCTCAGCCTCCTAAGTAGCTAAGATTACAGGCATGAGCCACTGGTGCTTGGCTAGTCTTCATTTTTCTAAAGTAAGAGATATTCTCCTTCTTTTACAAGTAACTGCTAAATTCACATCAACATTTGTTGAACTTCTACTTGATCATAAGGAAAATAAACAAAATGGAAACTTAAGATTTACAGAAGATAGAAGTTGCACGTGTTGGCTTAAGCTTATAATCCTAAATACTCAGGAGGCTGAGATAAGGAGGATTGTGGTTTGAGACCAATCCACAAGACCACTTGTCAGACAATAGCTGGGTGCAGTGGTATGTGCCAGTTATCCCAAGGCAAATTGGAGGCTAAGATTGGAAGGTTTGCAGTTCCAAGCCAACTGTAGGCAAACAAAATTGTAAAACTCCATCTTGGTGAAAGAAGGTGGGCATTGTGATACATACCTATTGTCTCAACTATGGCAGGAAGCATAAAATAACATCATGGTCCATTCTCAGGCCCTAGGGTAAACAAATTAGATCCTCTCTCAAAACAAGCAGTGTAGAAAATGGCTATAGGCATGGCTCAGTGATAGAGCACTTGCCTAGAAAGTTCAAGACCCTGAAATTCAAACCCCAGTATGTCCAAACAAAAGACTAGTTATAGCTAGGCACTGGTGCTATAATCCTAACTATTCTGGAGGCTGAGATCTGAGAAGTGCAGTGTGAATCCAGCCCATACAGGAAAACCCGTGAGACTCTTTATCTCCACTAGAAAAGTTCAAAGAACTGTGGCTCAAGTGGTAGAGTGCTAGCCTTGAGGGGAAAAAAACCACACACACACACATACACAAATCAAAGGCTGGGTACTGTGGCTCACGCCTATAATTCTAGCTTCTCAAGAAGCTGAGATCTGAATGAAGATCACAGTTTGAAGCCAGCCCAGGAGAAAAGTCCCTATGAGACTCTTAGTGGAGCTGTGGCTCAAAGTGGTAGAGCTCTAGCCTTGAGCAAAAGAGCTTATGAACAGTGCCCAGACCCTGAATTCAAGCCCATTACCACCAAAAAAGGCAAGTAGAACTAGTTGAAAGAAGAAAATTATTCTTTTTTTTTGGGGGGGGCGTGTCCGGTCTGGGGCCTGAACTCTGGGCCTGGGCGCTGTCCCTCAGCTCTTCAGCTCAAAGCTAGCGCTCTACAACTTGAGCCACAGCGCCACTTCCGGCTTTTTTCTTTTTGCTTATATGGTGCTGAGGAATCGAACCCAGGGCCTCAGGCATGCAAGGCAAGCGCTCTACCACTGAGCCAATCTCCCAGCCCAAGAAAATTATTCTTAATAGACTAATATGATATTGCAAATTTTCAGTCAAAATCACCAGAGTACTTTGAGGGATGACTAGTGAATATTCAACCTATTCTCAGGTTATTATCTAACAAATAGGTTCTTTCTACATCATAATCCATGAATAATTGCACTGGGTTAAATAAAGCCTACTACTGAAAGAATTTAACCTTTAATAAAGCATCATGTATACATATCCACACAATAAAAGAAAACTGTTTCTTCCCAAAAACCAAAGTTTTAACCTCAGTGATTATTCAGGTTCAAGTTTCCAAGTTCCTATTCATTTATATTTTTTTACAGCTATATTGATAGTAGCAACTAACTAATAAAGGAATTTGCTTTCACCATCATCATGAATTAATACATTATTACCTCAGATACTCTGAATGTTTAAGTTTCCTAAGTAGTAGGTATATCCTATACAGTAAAATTAAAGTTTTAGTTTTTCCCATAATTAGAACCAAATTCTTGAGCTATGGACTTAACTTGGTAAATGAACTAAATACCTGTTTTTCTTCTCCATACATTTACAGCTAACTTAGTGCTTCATCAGACTGTGGAGCGTATTCATGTGGGCAAAAAATACGGTGATATTCCTCGAGGGATTTTTGTGGTCAGAGGAGAAAATGTGGTCCTACTAGGAGAAATAGTAAGTAAAAACTGTTAAACTTCTAATGTTCTTGATGTTTGTGCTAGTTAGGTTTCTTATCTTCTCAAGAGAGAGAAAAATTTAGCTGGGTGATGATGGTTCACACCTGTAATCCTAGTTACTCAGGAGGCTGAGATCAAAGGATCTCAGTTTAAAGCCAGCTTGTACAGATCAGTCCTGGAGACTTACCTCTACTGATTCATATCTCCAATTAACCAGCAAAAAACTGGAAGTATAGGTATGGCTCAAGTCTTGAGTAAAAAAGCTAAGCTAGAGTGTGAGACAGAATTCAATCACCAGTACCAGTGCAAAAGAAAGAACGGAAAAGAAAAATATTTTCCACTTTTTATCCAGCTTTTCCCAGGTACCCACTGAATATGGAAAAAAAGCTATAGTTCCAGAGGGAAGCTACAGAGCTTAATTTTGACAATTTGATCTTATTAGTAAAATATCATTGGTTTTATTAGATATAAAAGATAATGTTCTACACAAGTATGTTCATTTAAGTGGCATTTGAATTATCTGTATAGCAAAAAGTTGAAAATCTTGATTTATGTATGTTGATTTATAAAAGTATGATTTAGGGCTAGTATGGCTCAGAAGAGCATTTGCATCATGTCTGTAATTCCCTGGCTTTGACCCCTACACTACAAGTGAAAAGTATGATTTACATATATTGAAATGTTTTGGAGGCATTTAATCTATTATGAGTAGTTTATCATATCTTAAAGACAATTTGCAGTATTTGAGGGAAACATTGCATATACATTTTATTGCTCATATTTTTTGTATAAAGAATGACTAATTCTTTAGCTGGTGGCTCAGGCCTATAATCCTAGCTATTCATGAGACTGAGATCTGAGGATCTTGGTTTGAAGCCAGCCCAGGCAGGAAACTGTGAGATTGTTATTTCCAAGCCACCAAAAAGCCAGAAGTAGAGCTGTGGCTCAAGTGGTGGAGAACTAGCCTTGAGCAAAAAAGCTCAGGGGACAATGCACAGACCCTGAATTCAAGCCCTAGGATCGGCACCAAAAAAGAATACTGTAGGAAAAGCCCTTCTGTTATGTATACTAGAATGGAGCTCACCTTTACTTGGATTATTGGCTCACAATAATAGTGTGGATCAACCTATCTGTGTGTCTGTGTAGAAAGATCACCTGGCAAGTGAAAAATTAAATCTGATCTTCTGATATGCTGTTGCTATGAGTCTGTGCATTGTATATGCTTATACATACAAACTGTTAGCAATATATTCATCTGCTGGAAGTACTCTGATACTGGTTTTTTGTTTGGTGCCAGTCCTGGGCCTAGAACTCAGGGCCTGGGTGCTCTCCCTTAGCTTTTGTGTGCAACACTAGCACTCTACCACTTGAGCCACAGCTCCACTTCTAGATTTTGGTGGGTAATTGGAGATAATCTCACAGAGTTTTCTGCCTGGTGGCTTCAAACTGCAACCCTTAAATCTCAGCCTCTTGAGTAGCTAGCATTACAGGCCTGAGCCACCAGTGCCTGGCTCAGATACTGTTTGTTTGTTTTTTCTTTTTTAAAAAACTATCTTGTTTAAACCTTTGATCAAATCCTGATGCTTTTCATTATTAGGTTTGCCAAGAAATTGAAACCTCCTATGAAAGAAGTTGAAATTAAGAGTTGGGGGGGCTAAGGGTGTAGATTTTCTGCCAGGCATATAGGAGACTCCTGGGTTTGATCTACCACTGAAAGCAGAGAGAGTAAGAGAAAGGCCAGGCCCCAGTTCATGTCTGTAATGGTAGCTACTCAGAAGGCTGCAATCTGAGAACCAGTTTGAAGCCAGCTAAGGCAGGCATATCTTTGAGAGTCTTACCTCTAGTTAACCAGCAAAAAACTGGAACTGGAGGTATGGCTCAAGTGGTAGAATGCCAGTCTTAAGCAGAATAAGCTAAATGAGAGTACTAGGCCCAGAGTTAAAGCTCTAATACCAGCACAAAGAGAGACAGACTGGAGTGGTGGGGGGATTAAGAGGCAATAACCAGGACTGATTTTTACAAAAAACAAACAAAACAAAACAAAAAAATCCAACTTTGGCATTTACTTTTTTATTTTGTTTTTAAACTTTCCAATAAAGTTTCTCAATACCTAGCCACATCTTAATTCAGTTTATACCAGTATTTTTGGCAGATAATTCTCTTAAGGTCAGGTTGGTTTCAGAAACCTCATGTTGGAGAGTTAACTACAAATAACATCAAGACTATCAGTACTTCCCAGATGCTACAGTGTAATGGGTAAAATCTCTTCTTAAAATATTTTGTAGTTTGGCCAGACACTGGTGGCTCACGCGTGTAAGCCCAGCTACTCAGGAGGCTGAGATTTTTAGGATATTGGTTCAAAGCCAGCCCTGACAGGAAAATCTGTGAGACTCTAATCTCCAATAAACTACCAGAAAACTGGAAATGGAGCTGTGGTTCCAGTGGTAGAACGCTAGCCTTGAGCCGAAGAGCTCAGGGACAGCACCAAGGCCCAGCTCAAGCACCACAACCGACCCCCGCCCCCCCAAATTTGTAGTTGTTATATTTAGTTCAAGTGATCGTTTCTTGCATGTTTAAGCAGCAGAATTTCCAACCTGTATTATATAAAGGTTAGAATAAAGCACCTAGTACCCCAGGAAGGTAGAGGCTAGTGAAAAACCATAATTATCTGCTTATTCATAGGGCCTAACCCCTCTCTGGAGAGTGGATTATGGGTTATTTTTGAAACGTTTTTTCCAAATTCAGTTTCTCAAGAGGAAATACTATTTTTATTTCCAGTGAAAGACTTTAGTATGTATACATATTCTGTATAGGGGAGGGTTTTTTTTTTATTTCTTTCTTTTTTATTTTTTTTCCGGTCGTGGGGCTTGAACTCTGGGCCTGGGTGCTGTCCCTCAGCCCCACTTCCTGCTTTTTCTGCTTTTGTGGTGCTGAGCAATGGAACCCAGGGCCTCATGCATGCAAGGCAAGCACTCTCCCACTGAGCCACCTTCCCAGCCCCAGGGGAGGGGTTTTGTTTTTGTTTTTAGTGGTATTGGGATTTAATTTCAGCCTTCTGCTTGCTAGGTGTGACTCTGCCACTTAAGCCATAGCCCTAGCTAGCTAGCACTGTTTTAAGACAGGATTTATGTGACTAAGTCTGGCCTGGAACTTCTGACCACCTACCTGCCTCAGCCTCTCACTACCATCTCAGCAGATCACACCCCATCTTAGCTTTAGTTTTATATTAATAAATATTAATAAACACAATAGACACAACAGACAAACTTTGTGTACCAGTTACATTTGTGTAAAGGGTACATACATGGTAGATAAGTGTAAATGTACAAAGAAGTGAACATGTGTCTCTGTTCTTGACGATTCATAGTTTCCTGGCATCTCTTTTGTGAGGAAAAGTGTTACTAAGTGGTTGTACAAAAGGCTTACAATTTCATTAATCAGGTTATGAATGTTTCTTGGTCTATGTCACTCTCCTTTATTTTCCCCCAAAATTCCCCTCCTGCCTCTACTGTCAAGTTACATAGAAAGTACTTATTTTTATATGAGTTTGAGTTGGAAGACTGAGGAGTTTCACAGAAGTAGTACTGGAGGAATATATACTTAGTTAAATGAATCAGCAGTCAATTGGAAGAAATTATGTACCAACCCCAAGAAAACTCATACCTAGAAACCAGTTCTGCCCTAGATTCTGACTCAAAGATGATGAGCACAGCCTTAAGTAATAAAACTGATTCTTGGGAAGCAGTAACATAACCACATGAAAAGCTCGATGGATGACACAGTGAATATTCTCAAGAAGCAGTTCATTAAGCTAAGAACACTGCCTTCTCCAGTTGTTTCTCATAGGTTATAAGGAAAGTGTTGAGTGATAATATATATTTTTCTGGGTGCTGATAACTTTTGACCCAGGACAGAGGGGTGACTTACGCAACTTGTGTGGCTTTCCATCTAACCCTCTAGGGTAAATCCTCAATCTGATACTGCAAGTGCGAGTTCTGAGACCTTGGCAGCATATGACAATTACTCTCCAGCCTGGAACAGCTGCACTCTGTGTGTCAATGTCTTCCCAAACCTTATCGTCAAAAGTCATAGAGGAGGATAAAAAATAGGAACACAGCCAGGCAGAATGGTGCATGCTTGAAATCCAGCACTAGAAAGGCTGAGGCAGGAGGATCATGACTTTAAACCAGCCTGCACTCTACATAGAGACCTTTCCTAAAAATGAAATAGGAATCTTTGTATATGCTTTCCATTTTACAGAAACCCAGAATAATACCTGTATGTTCATTTTGAGGAGAATAAAAAACCTGTAGCAAGATTCTTTTTTGTTAGGAAACTGCTTATGAAATGTTTTTTGTTTTGTTTTGTTTTTTGTTTTGTTTTTTTTTTTGGATCCGGTTATGGGGCCTGAACTCTGGGCCTGGGCGCTGTCCCTCAGCTCTTCAGCTCAAGGCTAGCGCTCTACCACTTGAGCCACAGTGCCACTTCCGGCTTTTTTTCTTTTGGCTTTTTTTCTTTTCTTTTTTCTTTTTGCATGCCTCAGGCATACAAGGCAAGTGCTCTACCACTGAGCCACCTTCCCAGCCCCATGAAATGTTTATAAGGTGTTCAAAATAAAAATATTAAATACATTATGCTGTATTAAATAAAAGTCTTAGCCTTTGCATGATGAGTTTTGGGGGGTTTTTTTGTGTGGGGTTTTTTTTTTGTTTTTTGTCAGTCATGCGGCTTGAACTCTGGGTCTTATGTGGTGCTGAGGAATCGAACCCAGGGCCTCATGCTTGCAAGGCAAGCGCTCTACCACTAAGCCACCTTCCCAGCCCCCCAAAAGACTCTTATCTCCAATTAACCAGCAAAAAGCCAGAAGTAGAGATAAGGTTCAAGGATACTCGAGTGTCCTTGAGTGAAAAAGCTAAGCTACAGTTCTCAAATATTAATGAAATACATTGGGGCCAAACTGGTTTGATAACTTATCTAGTCTTCTGATGTTATCTATAGATTTGTTGCTATGGAGGGGAATAGAATTTTGTGTTAAAAGTTTAGGTATTCGCAATTAACACAAGAGAAGTACATTATTCCTTTAAGAGCTTCAGTCCCCAGAAATGAAGCCAACTTTAAAAATGTAAAAAATACAAATCTGGGCACAGGTGGCTCATGCCTATAATCTGAAGCTGAAATCTAAGGATCACAGTTACAAGCCAACCCAGGCAGGAAAAACCATGAGACTTTTGCCTCCAATGAACTACCAAAAAAAAAGAAGAAGAAAAAGGCCAGAAGTAGAGCTGCTAAGTGATAGAGCACTAGCCTTGAGCAAAAAAGTTCAGGGACAGGGGCTGGGAAGGTGGCTCAGTGGTAGAGCGCTTGCCTTGCATGCCTGAGGCCCTGGGTTCAATTTCTCAGCACCACATAAACAAGAAGAAAAAAGCCAGAAGTGGCGCTGTGGCTCAAGTGGTAGAGCATTAACCTTGAGCTGAAGAGCCTGAGGGACAGAGCCCAGGCCCAGAGTTCAGGCCCTACGACCCAAAAAAAAAAAAAAAAGTTCAGGGACAGCATCCAAGTCCTGAGTTCAAGCCCCAGCACTGGTACCAAAAAAATAAAAATACAAGAATTACCTAAATTATCTCAGCTTTAGTAATTTTCTTGGATTTTGCGCAGTTGAGGAGATAGCTGTCCCTAGTTGTACTGTTTTAGAGAAAACTTAATCCTGACAAATGTATTAATCTTGATAAACAAGCTAAGCTGTACATACTGATGCTGACACTGGTTACCATTCCAGTTAAAGTGTTCTACAATGGTCATTTCTTTGGCTATCCATAGAAGATGGATGTTTGAGTGCCATGCTAGTTAAGAAAAGCAACTAAAACCTGTGTAGTAATCATTTGCCTTTCAATCTATAAGGTTTTCTATTCTTGGTCTTCATGGGAAGTTTTAAAATCTGACTCTTTTACAGGACTTGGAAAAGGAGAGTGATACACCTCTGCAACAAGTATCTATTGAAGAGATCCTAGAAGAACAAAGGGTAGAACAGCAAACCAAATTGGAGGCTGAGAAGCTGAAAGTTCAGGCCCTTAAAGATCGGGGTCTCTCCATTCCCCGAGCAGATACTCTTGATGAGTATTAAGCTCTTTGCTCAGAGGTTATTACTCTTAGTGATCAGGGATTATGTCACTGACAGAAAGTAACATCCTGATCACCTCATACGTTTAACCAGAGACTGTAATTTTGAAAGATTATTTTTATTGTTAATTCTTTCACATATGTAATATGAAGAAATCATGGGATTTTATTTTACTTTGTTTAAGAAAAATCATTGTTTAAGGAAACAATGAAATGGACTTCTTTCACCACATGTCCCTGCAGAGCTGGGACACGTATTGCTTTTCTTTGTATTGCTTTTCTTCTCCTAGAGTAGAGTTTATGGGAGACATTCTGTATTTCTTTGTAAATTGTAAATAAAATATGAATCTCATTTTCCCAAATGAGAGTTATCTTCAGTGGTTAGACAACCCAGAAAAGGTGTGAGTAGGCCACATGCTGGGATTTCTCCTGCCATCCCCAAGTAGCTGGTTACTGAGGAAGGAATATTTTCATATCACTTTTCTTGTGGGTTCTCCCTACTCTTTTCATGTTTTGGTATGATAACAAATTTTACCTTATCTGAAGAGAGTTTTCAGTTAAGTTTTCAAGTAACTGGTTGCAACAGAAGCCTCATGTTTGAGAAATCACTTCAGTCCTGCCATACCCACAGCTATTCCAAGGAAAGTTCTTATGATACCCAGCATTTTCCTGAAGTGGTGGCTTTTCTGAACCTTCTAATTTAGTTAAGGTTCCTAGTCACTTGAGTTGGGAATCAAGCTGCTTTTGTTCAAATCATTAAAAAAAAAAAAAAAGGCAAAAACACTGTTTAGCAACCTACAACCCATAATGGTATGGTTGTTGAAGAGTAGTGATTATGTGAGTGTATCAGATTGTTTTTATGTGATTGTTTTGTGCCTGTCCTGGGGCTTGATCTCATCCAGATGAGCTTCTTTTGCTCACAGTTAGCCCTCTGCCACTTGAGCCATAGCTCTGCTTCTAGCTTTTTGGTAGTTTATTGGAATGAGGACATACAATGTAAAAACTGGTTTATTGGCACATTGGACATGAGTAGGATAGTCATCCTCTTGATCTTCAGAGATTTTTAACTGTAGTCCAGATATTTGCTTTTTATAATCTCTTGAGCAAAGATGTCTTTTTCATAAGACATCTAGCTTATATGTGTAATATTAAATATTCTTAGTTTATGAGCTCAGGTATTGTTAAGAACTCCCCAGGTGGCTGGAAACCATTTGACTTTTGAATAACTTAAATTATTAAGTTGTTTTTTATAGTTGATACTTTATGAAGAAATAGTACTTCTTGGGCTCAAGACATAGCTCAGTGGTAGAACACTTGCCTAACATGTGCCAGGCCCAGGATTCCATCTCAGCACCACAAGAAACAAAAAAAGTCCTTAATTATGTAGTGTTTTATGTATAATTTTACTGTTTAAAAATCCAGGATTTGTTATCCACGTAGAGCCAAAATATACTATCAACACTCTTTAAAACTTGTCTACAATAAGATACTTTGGGCCAGCACAGTAAGCATGTGCTTTTGTGAGCCCACTGTTTGAGAACATGTGATGTGTCACATGATATGTGATCTTTTCAACATCATCACACCATTCACTATAATAACACATGGAAAAGAGACCTACTTACCATGGTAAGTCCACACTTAGCTATTGGCTTTCCAAACCACCCCAGGTTTCAGTCATCATGGAGCAACCCAGAATTACATCTAAGGGATGAAACTGCCTGGATGACTGCTTCCTTCCTCTTAGTCCCCAGGCTGCTTAACATAGTGTCCTCAACTGCCAAGCTCCAAGCTACAGATACTAAAACCCTAGGCTATCATTGGTACTGTCTTCTATGATGAACTACTCCAGTTCAGACTCAAAAGTTTCTTATAATTGAGCTTCCTGTGAGACTGCTTACAGAGGAGAAAACCATGGAGAACCTATCAAAGCTTCATTCCTGGCTACCTTTACTCCAAAATAATTGAGCATATCTCTTACTCTGTTCCTTTTCCACATCCCGGTCCTTGACCTTAGATTGTGTGCGCTCAACTGTTGAAACCACTATTTCTCCCCTCTGCTCTGATTAACTCCTAAAAGGCTTTGAATAGTTAGTGGAGCCAAATGCTCTTCTATCATCCATTGAGGAGGATTCTCAGGCAAGCCATGTCAGAATGAGTTCTATCGGGCCTATTTGAAGAGGGTTGCAATGGCAGAGCCCAATTTAGACAGCAAAAGGTGCGGTGTTCCTAACAAAGGACGTGCCCCTGCTGTGAGCAGTTCCTAGACTTTAGGATCTATATACCAGATTCACGGCAGCACAGCTCAAGAAATGGGTCCTAGGAATTGTCCCCAGAAAGAAAATAGAGGAAAGGCAGTTAATAGTTCTCCATCCCTCAGTCTTGCAAAAAAAGATATGAATGTACACATGTTTTATCTTTAGGGAGTTTCATTGACTTGAAAATTTGCTCCAAGATGACCCCCATCCAGCTCCCCTTTGCATGTAAGAACCAGCAATCTCAGTGACAAATGAAGAGGGCTGCAGGCTGAGCTTTAATACTGAATCCACCTTCCACATTTAAACTTAATTAAACCAACATAATCTGAACATAATCAAGGAAAGAGTAGTAGAAGAGACACTTGGTCCGAACTTCACCTTGCAGTTAATTAATGTGAGCTGAGCACAAATTTCATCTGCGACAGACAAGCTCAACAGCATACATGCTGTACCAAAGCAACTGACTTCTGAAAACAATACCCAACCTGTTAGGCCTATGTTAGCTGGGAGAAGGGAAAGTTTTAACCAAAGAGAGAACCGTGGTCAGCCTAGTTTAAACATAAGTTACAACCTACTGAATTAGCGGTATTAACTAGTACTTTCTATTTGAATGGAATTTAATACAAAATAATGCATCACATAATAAAATTAGGTTGTATGTGAAACTTGTTACGTATCTGTGTGCATTTCCATTTCTGGAAATGTAAGCAGAGTTGCTTACGTTGTGGGTTGCTGTCATAAATATTTGAACACACTACCTTAATTTTTTACTAGGTTTTTATATGCTTATGGTAAATAGAAAAGGGAAAAATATGGGTCCATTTCATAGCTCTTATTTCAACCCTGAAGACCACTAGACCCAGCATATTTAGTCTTTGTGCTTAGAACATACTTCACACCAGGTGAAAGTTGTTCATGCTTATAATCCTAGCTATTCAGGAGGCTGAGATCTGAGGATCTCAGTTCAAAGCCAGCCCAGGCAAGAAAGTCCCTGAGATTCTTATCTTCAATTAACCACCAGAAAACCAGAAGTGGCGCTTGTAGCTCAAGTGGTAGAGTCCTCACCTTGAGCTGAAGAGCACAAGTACAGTGCCAGGCCCAGAGTTCAAGCCCCACAACAGACCAAAAAAAAAAAAAAAAGATTGTTTTAGGGCAGGGAATTGGCTTAATGGTAGAATGATTGACTAGCATACATGAAGCCCTGGGTTCAATTCCTCAGTACCACATAAACAGAAAAAGTTGGAAGTTAGGCTGTGGCTCAAGTGGTAGAGTACTAGCCTTGAGCAAAAGAAACTCAGGGACAGTGCCCAGGCCCTGAGTTCAAGCCCTGGGACTGGCAATAAATAAAACCAGAAGTAACATTGTGGCTCAAAGTGTTAGAGCGCTATCCTTGAGCAAAAAAGCTCAAAGACAGCACCCAGGTCCAGAGTTTAAGCCCCATGAACAACCCGGACCACCACCACCACCCCAAAAAAATCTCATCAGATAACTTCATAAATCCTCTCTTTCAGATTGCACCCTTAGGAACCATTATGGTAGAGCACTTGCCTAGCTTGCAAGAAGCCCTGGGTTTACTCCCCAGGAGTAAGTTTCTTTGAGCGTAAGTTCAAACAAAAGCCAACCTATTACCTATTTTTTTTTTTGCCATATTATGCCAGGCAACTCATTATCTGATATAAACTTTGTCTATTGTCCCTTGTCCCTCTCCAGAATGTGAACACTTCAGGATGGGATTTCTATCTATCTTATTCATTCTTGTATCCCCAGTAACTAGAACAATGCCTGGTATGGATTAGGTCTCCATGTATATTTGTGAAGGAAGGAAAGGAAGAAAAGGTATAGGGAATTCAGAATGGTAAACTAAAAGTGCTTCAGAGACACAGCAGAACAGCAGAAAGTGAGAACAGCTGGACCCTCTTGAGTAATCAGGATTCATAGAGATCCGTATAACAAATGCAGAGATGTTCCAATACTGGAAGCCACTGCTCTCAGGTGTGAAGAGTCTGGAGATAAACATTTCCAGAAAAGCATCCCAGAGAAGAGACCTCCTAGGTCTGGCAATAAATTTAATGATTTGTAGTAGCCTGGATTTCTTTTTTAATTGTAATAGAATACAAAATAGAGTGTATCATCTATTAAAGCTTTTTTCAGGGCTGCTGGAGATGCTGTCTGCTGCCTGTTCTCCTTCTGACTGCCAAGTGGAATTGGGCTCCCATGCCCACTCCCATCTCACAGAAGCAAGCTGTTGCTTCACAGGCATTTGCCTTTCTCAGTTAAGCTGGTCTTGTATTGACCCAAGATCAAAGTAAATTTTATGACCAACTGTGTACTGCACACCTGTAGCCCAGTTACCAGGAGGCTGAGGCAGGAGGATCATTTGAACAGAGGAGTTTAAAACTAGCCTGAACAAGATAGTAAGACTAGATCTTCATTTTTAAATACATAAATGAGCACCACGGGCTCATGCCTGTAATCCTAGCTACACTCAGGAGAATGACGTCTGAGGGTTGTGGCTCAAAGCCAGCTCAGGCAGAAAAGCCTGTGAAACTGTTATCTCCAGTTAACCACCAAAAGAACTAGAAGTGGAGATGTGGCTCAAGTAGTAGAGTAAAAGCCTTGAGCAGAAAAATAAAAATAAAAAATGAGGTGATAGTTCCTAGATCTTGAATTCAAGCCTAAGAACTGAGACAAAAAAAATAAATTCTCTCCCTATTCCTGAAGAACCAGTCCTAATGGAGCCTATCTGCTGCTTTCTTTTCCCAAAAATTTCCTTCCTGTTTAATGCCCATGTTCTGCCAGGGCTACCAGGAAGCAAAATAAAATCTAAAGCTGCCTTTCTCCTGTCTACTCCAGGATTTTGCCTCTCTCAGTCCCTCCACCCCCACCCCAACCTCTTATTCTCTGCCTGTTTCCTTGTTCTCCTAACTCTTGCAGCTCAGCAGTGGTTGTTGCCACTTGGCCAGACACAGAAGAAAATGACCTCAAGTGCTCTTGCCTTGGAAACAAGAGCATTGAGTGGTGTGTCAAGGCCAAAGCAGACAGTTGCTGGGGGGCCAAGTGAAAGAGAGAAGGCCCAAAGCTGGACAGATCTCAAGGCCAGGAATCCAGATGTCCTGGGACTCTAAGACTCAGTTATTTCTAGTTGGGTTTATGGAGATGCAGTTTACAATAAAGTTCACTCTTTTTAGCGTGTGGTTCTTTGAGTTTTAACAACTATGTGTAGTTGTATAACCACCATCACAATCAAGAGATAACAATATTTTCATCATCCCATCCCATTGTTTAACTCCTTCCTCTTTCCTTTGTTTCTTAAAACCACTGGCCTCTTTTCTGTCCCTATTATGTATGTTAGCATGTAACTCAGACTTTTCTTAAATGGTTTATAGTCACATAAAATATCTGAAAGGGGGCTGGGAAGGTGGCTCAGCGGTAGAGCGTTTGCCTTGCATGCCTGAGGCCCTGGGTTCTATTCCTCAGCACCACATAAGCAAAAGGAGAAAAGCCGGAAGTGGTGCTGTGGCTCAAGTGGTAGAGCACTAGCCTTGAGCTGAAGAGCTGAGGGACAGCGCCCAGGCCCCGAGTTCAGGCCCCACGACCGGACCCAAAAACAAACAAAAAATATCTGAAAGGTTAAATTCATTCCTCCTGCCTTTAGCTTTCTCTTCTGGTTTAGCCTATTCCAAAAGAGAAAAAAAAAATATGTAAGTTTGTAACTGTGTTCTCTGTCAGAATTCCTGGGCAAGGAAAGCTAAAGTATAGTTTGCATGGGGCATGCTAATGTGCGCTCTAATCCTATAACTCAGGAGGCTAAGGCAGGCGGCTCACGAGTTTAAGGCCAGAATCACAACAAGACTATCTCAAGAAAAAAAAAAAAGGAAAAGGGGAAAAAAATATATATATAGTAAAATTTTGTGTGTATGACAGTCCTGGGGCTTAAACCAGAAATAGAGCCTATGTGCTGTGCCTGAGCTTTTTGCTCAAGGCTAGCACACTCTGACTTAATCCATAGCTCCACTTCTAGCCTTGAGCCCAATGCCAGTGGCTCACATTTGTAATCCTAGCTACTCACGAGGCTAAGATCTGAGGATCCTGGTTCAGAGCCATCCCAGGCAAGAAAGTCTATGAGACTATTATCTCCAATTAACCACCAAAAAGCTAGTATAGCTGTGGATCAAGTGGTAGAGTGCTAACCTTGAGCAAAAAGGCTCAAGGACTGTGCCCACACCCAGAATTCAAGCCCCAATACTGTCACACACACACACACACATTTATGTAAATAAATATATATGTATATCTTGGGGGATTTTGTCAGTCGTGGGGCTTGAACTCTGGGCCTGGGCACTCACTGTCCCTCAGCTCCTC